TTACCGGCGATCAAATGAAATTAATTATTCTTGATTCAGATGAACGTCTAGACTAATTACAAAACGGGAAGTGTTCCCTGTTGTTACAGAATTTTCTTCGTACGGTACTGGAATTAAAAATTGCAAGATAACACAATATTGGTTGATTGGTGCCTTCAGAGTGGAACAATTTAAAAATTCCTTATTAGTCGTGCTTGCCTTGTTTCTGCATTTTTATAAGTTTAAATTTTTATTGTATGTAAATATAAATAAACCGCAAGGGAGAAACTGAAATCTTCCTGGTTGAAAAAAAAAGTAAAAAAAATTGTTATGAGAAAACAATATGAAAGGAAGTATTTAGCAACAATAACTTTTCGTCTCATTAAGACCGCTGAAAAGTGAAAGAAGAATTCACAATTTGTCTCAATTAACTCTTGAAGCACAGATTAAAGAGTCGTTTAGGAAAAATTGACCCAATATGCAAAGTCTGATGGATCTAATTACCCGCTTAATAAGAAGAGATAAATCAATTAAAAATGTTAATTCCGTCAAAGTGTCGGAGAAACTCCTTTTAATTTATGTACTAAGAGTTTTAATAAAATTATTGGAATACTATCATGGCTCAGTTTCGAACTACTTCAGCGTGAAAAAAAGGCCGCTTCGTGAAGTAGAACGCGAAATCTTCTGTTAGAAACAGTCCACCATCGCTTGACTCAAATTTGAAATCCAGTACTCACCCCTTAAAGAAATTTTCTCACAAATAAAAAAATACCACCGCAAAACTTGAATCGTGGGCAATGTCATTGTAACAAACTCAAAAAACTTGTCACTTTTTTGACAATACCTTTATTCTTCTTGGGTATCCTGATCGAGGCCCACATGTAGGTTTTGGTTTTGATTTTTTCGGCTTCCTTTGTGAAAATATCCATATCGCTGTTGTATTTATTTTTCTTTCCTTTGAAACCCATTTTGGGGTTATTATTCACGTCAATGACACTAGAACTGAACAATGACGATATCCGGTAAAGGGGGCCCATGTGACAGCCCCGGCACGAACCTCACTCTCTTGTGAATTTTTCAACACTGGAGCGAACACGCGACTGTGGAAACTAAACGAACTTTCTTCTAGTGGACTTTCTATTGCGGCGGCTGCCCCCATAGGTTGTAACAATCGACAGATAGGCTTACGGCAATTTTGTCGCGACTGATTTAGACAATGGCAATGAACGAGTTATTACCTGATAAGTGATAATAACGACATGGGTTGAAGCTAAATCAATGTTAAACCAACTTCCGCTTTAACAAAACAATGTTGGGCACTAAGTATAGTCCAGTAAAGCTTCTGTGAAAGTGTTATTTTTTGTAACACTAAAAAACGCCTACATCTCGGTAATTAAATAATTATTCTAATAGCTGATATCTCAAGCTTTCTACAGCAAATACTTAGATTTGCATATTTTTTTCTTAGAAAATAATGATTGTTTTACCAATATCTTTACTATTGTCTTTGTGTGAAAATTACAATTTCAAAATTCTTATAATTCGAGAAACAATAGGACAAAATTTTATTACATCACGAGTGTCATAACGTTATTTAATTTTTCACTCCGTGGACCGCATGAAAGTTCCTAAATGTAAATGAATTTTTTTCTCTAAAAATGTAAAAAAATAAATGTTTCTGAATTTGACTCCTCTTATATTAAAATATCTGGCCAAGAGAGTACTGAAAAGTGGCAAGCTTCTTGTAATTTAAACAAAATTTCTCATATATTTTAAAATGACTATATTTAAGCTACATCTCACAAATTCTTTTCAAAACTACAAAACAGCTATTCTCTGGAAACATTCGAGAGCATTTATTAAGTTTGCTCTTGATAACTGACTGACTAAATTTCTTGTCGAGAGAAAATTCTATTTAAACGAACACATTTGTTTGTTTTCCAAGTAGGATACAAATGCGGGAAAGCTTCTCCATTTTACCAACCAGTCTGAATTGCTTTTTACGATAGTTTTAAAAATCAGGAAGTACTATTAACAATGTTCACAACAATTACCTCAAATAATAACACTAAATGGAAATTTCTGAAGGTCTAGATCAGTGTAATTACTCATCTTTACGATTAATCGTTTTAAAATGAAAGTAGTTAAGATGTTTATCTTGCAATCTGATTAATGATATTACATTTATATGTATGTACGTAGCGTAAGTAGTCTTAAATAAATCAAAACTTGTTCAAAATCGATAAATCCAGTCTTGCAATGAAAGTAAAGTCAAAGAGCAATAACCTTTTTGATACTTTTATATGAAAAATATTAAAATAAATTCAATATGTCCCATTACATAATTTGCACGGTGATGAATGTTTCAAACAAACACAGTTTTAAAATTTTGAAAACTTCCTAGAACATGTGTTAGAACGAGTCGTTTTCCTTCTGACAAGTGTACGACTTAATTAATCGCGCTCTTCGATCTTACCAGTGTCACATAATCCATATGGTAAATTAATGAGCTGGTCTTAGCTTCATGTTTTGAACCATTAATTGCGACTTCACCACTAAATAAACTCTTTAATATAATTAATACAGAAACTTGTGCCAGATTTCACTTTGAACTACTTTTTAAAAATCTAATAAAATTATTATCAGGCGATCTTCTATCAAACTTGATTATGACGCGGTGTAAATGGGGTGAAAACACAATATGGTTAAGACCTGAAACTTTTTTCACATTAAAACATGTCATAAGCACTGAATCCTAAAAAATTTTCATTCTCTGATACTAAACTGGCAATTATTTTTATTATAATATTTAGCAAATTAATTTTATTGCCACTTTTCTTTTTACAACATAATTAATTTTATGAATTTTCTTATACATGGTTAATAAAACACTTTCAAATAAATCATTTGTCAAAATTCTTATGATTAATCGTTTCGACAATACAATAAGCATGACCGATGCGAATTTAACAGAAATGTTAGTGAACTCTTTACTCTTTATCACAAATTTTTTTAATTTTTCTTTTGCGCAGGTACTAGAAAGTCAAAATATGATTGATTCAACCGGTCATGTCGAAAGTAAAAGTAAAAAAAAAATAATCATAAATTATTATCTGAGAAGATTACTATGATTTATATCAAGTTTGTTGTTGTTAATTGGCGTGAGAATACGTGATTGAACACAATCGTGTGTTCATTGTGATGTAAAAATAAACCGCCTCTTGTATTATGTTAATAAAACATAAAACAATTACCATGGCCTTACGGGAACGTGATTTACTAATTTCATGGTTGACCATGTCGTAGACAATGAATGGACACTTTCTTATGTAAACTGATCATTTTACAATAATTATACAAATTGGCAACATACAAGCTAGGCAAAAAGTGGAAGATCTTGTTTTTTATTTATAAGAAAAACTTTCAAACAGTATACACAATCATTAGTTATAAGTTATAACACTAATATCTTATATTGTTTCTATGCTGCATTTAAGCTTACCTCTTATTTTGTCGTTAATATACGTGCATCTACAGGGTGTTGAAAAAAGATTGTAAAATATTTCAGTAGGTATTCTGGGGACCCATGTTTATTAAGACTTTTTTGTTTATTTTGATCCATACTATTACCTCCTTAAAAATTTTACAATTTTTTTAACACCCTGTATAAAATACATCCTCAATCACAACGTATTTGGTAAGTACATAAAATACCCTTTATCTTGACATTTTGTCAATTTCGATTCAATAGAAGAATTGGAAAAAATATTGAAGACAACACAAGTTTTATAGTTTATTTTTTGTTTGTGAAAATCAATTTTGAGTGTTGAATGTTCATTCCAAAAAAGGTTGTTAAAATCCGAACTTTTGGCTCTTTTCTATATTATAAATAATAATTTTGTGCTAATTCAAGTTTTAGTAAATATGTACTCCTATTTTATTTTCATAATAGTTACAGCTACTTTCTAAAGAACTTGCTATAAAAAATTATAATTGCACATTTCACCGTTAATAACCACCGAAATTTAATTTTGCCGGTGTAATTAATAAGCGCACCCATACACCTACTGGGTGTACATTTCCCGCGTGGGTTCCCACTTTCCGTTATCTAAATTACGGCTCTATAAATCGAAGAGGAACAAACTGGTGGTTCCGTTGATGTCGAAAGTAAAAGTCAAGCCATTACCATATTATTTAATTTTTTCGGTACCATAATGGGCCGCAAAAATGGCAACTCGTTGACCACAAATTATGTCAGAGATTTTCCATATGTGTAATTGAAAATTTTCCGTTGTTGGTTGGCTAAAAGCCTGTGAAAATTGGCTCGAGTGTGACATTTTCACTAAATGCTGGTGTATGGTGTCATCATGAATCGAGAAACCGCCTCTTCATTTAATTAAATTTATTTCGCGTGTTGTACATGAGTACCTTTCTCTGGTACTTTCGTCGTGTGTAGGCGTCGCTCTATATCAACAATTTAATAAATCGAATCAGTGGCATAGAACTAATTTGGACTATATTTAACTTGGATTTGAAAAAAAAAATTGAGGTCGGAACCGTGCTTTTAAATCTGAATAAGAAAGCTACTCGAAATACCTGTCTAGAAATAGAGACAATAAAAAAGCACAATGGCTAAGTTAAACACAGGATGTGCTTAAGGAATTTACCGAATTACACCGACCTTTACGATTGTTATACCGCTTGTACAATCATTGAAACGCCTTATCAATTCGGATCTTGCTTTACGTAACACAAGTGTTTGATAGTAAAAATGTTAAAAGACGGAAAAAGAAACAATGGAGTTTTACAACAATAATCCGAAGTAAAAGTTCTTTGTGATTTTTCGGACTGTAAATCTTCGCGGAAGACAAAAACATTGATGTCATTTTTCGGACACTTCTTTACATTATATTAATTGGCAAATAAGATTCTCACGTTTTCACTGCCAGTATTGTTTTTGTTGAAATATTACCATTGTTACGAATTATTAATTGTGTTGTCGGAGATGTCAAATAACTTACCTTTAATTAATGGTTGCTTTTTCTCTTTAAGGCTTGTTGGGGTTCGTTTTGGTTTATTTTCACTCGGAGAAGATGTTGGTGTTGTTTTCTTAGCTGGAAAAAATGATAAATGACTTATTACACATGCACTAATTACACGAAATGAATCAAAGTTAGTTATGTGATGGCCTGATTACAAACAATTAAGGTGAAAAGTTGAACTAAGTTTCTATGCTTATGTTAGATAATAATTAGAAGAAATCTGTAAAAAGCAATTTTTAATTATAATCGAACGAAATTTCATTTGGCCTAAAGAGAATTTTAAACTGTGGGTATTTTTCGAAATCCTAAAAAAATATAAAACAAAACAGATCTAGACTCATTGAAATGGCGTGATAAAGGCGACACCCTGTAAATTATTATAGTTTGTTAGTAAGTCACAATGATTCTTAAAATATAGTAAATTATTTATTTAAATTAAAACAGTATTACAAATTTACAACAAAATTGAGAAAAAAATCAAAGAAATCAGCGACGATTGACGTAGTCACGACCGGATCTAAACATATTTACGATAAAATCTTAAAAAATATCGTGATGTTTGTTAATGCAGTGACAACCGAGTAATTTTAAATTATTATGCAATTTTTTATAAAAATAAAAAAGAAAAGTATGCTAAATTCTAGTCGTTTTTAGATCAAAAATTTGTTTTAAGAACGTCAAAACAAATCATATTGATTGATTTTAAATTTTATTTTAGATCTACAGATTTCCGTCAAGCAATATACAGTCTTTCCCCGGATAGGTGAAATCACGTGAAACGACTCTTGTAAAAGATAAAAGAATTCCATTTAAATTTTCATTTTTTTGGAATTCAGACTTCCTTGGTTAAAGACTAATTTCTAGTATAATTTTAGTTTTGAAAAATCAACTTTGTCAATCTATTTTTATGTAGAGTAAAATAACTTTTGTGTAGCAAAGACGACAAAAAGTTATTAAGAAAAGTTGTTTAGAATCAACATCTAAAATTTCAAAATCATCGGCCAATTATAATTTTTCATTTTTTTATGTCTATTAATTCACAAATCAAAGAATTTTGTTTTTAAGTCCTTTTATTACAAATAAAAAAATTACATTTAAATTATTAGTAGTTACTAAATAAACTTTTGATAGTTTTGTTAATAAAAAGCACTTATTTTTGAAAAAAAAAAAAAATGAAAAATTACAGTTGGCCGATGATTTTAAAATTTAGTATACGGGCCTAAATGTTCGTTCGAAACAACTTTTCTTAATAACTCTTTGTCGTATTTGCCACATACAAGGCACTTTACAGAAACATGTTTTTGAAAATTTCCAAGACATACTTGATTTTTTAAAACTAAAATTATGTTAATTAATCTTTAAGCAGGGCTGGACCCCAAAAAATAAAAATTTAAATCAAAAACATTTTTATCTTTTACAAAAGTCGTTTCTGGCGAGTTCTGGCGCACCCTGTATAAATAACGAAATTTAATTTCATCACATTTGATTGGAGTACAAAAAGATAATTAAACGTTGTAATAAAATCGAAATAATCATGTAATGGAAATAGACCTTTAAAATTGAGTTTAAATAAACAATTAATCGAGCAGAGTGTATTTATCAGTCTGAAATAAGTTTCAAGCTGTTTGTTTTTAGAGTAGACAACCAATAATACACAACTGGTTCATAGGCACCACGTTATTCAGGCTTGTGTTTATATTATCTAACTTAAAAGCGCGTTTCGTTCGAAAATACCGGTGAGGAGTCGTCTTCTGGAAGATAGTTATTTCCTGTTGCATGTTATTTAAAACTTCACAGCTGAAGATTCCGCTAGGTGGAACAAAATACCAGCTGTGTCGTCAGGTGACTTCCACCTGTGTGTTCACAAGAGTCTAGACTTTACTCAAGGGAACCTGTTTAACACCAACTTGACAAAATGATAAATAGAGGAGGAATCCAAGAAGTGTTGATTCTGTTGATAAGAATGACTAGACTAATTGGAATATTTCCAAATCGTGTGTACACGAGATAAAAATAAATTAATAGGTGAACGTCTAATATTTGTATATTTACAAACTGTCGGTCTATCTTGGTCACAATTAAAATTTCATCAGTTTGAAGCTTCCGTTGAAATTTTTTGAATTTCGAGATAAGTAAAATAAATATGACTTACTCTCGTTTTGCGATGCTTGCCTTGGTGGTAATTTTGAAGCGGTTAGAACTTGAGTTACTTGAACCACTTCGCGTTTCTTGGACGACCCTGGAACAATATGCCCAAATTTAGAAAAAGTCAAATTGAAACAAATACAATGACAGATTTTTGATTTTTGACCCGCCTCACCTTTTTTGCCGAAACTACCAAATCTCTCTCTTGTGTGAATCCTTTCGGATGATGAACGATTAAGTTTATCCTTCGAAGGATGCTGCCCCATTTTTTATATTCAAAATTTAATTCGAACCATAATTTTATTTAAAAATATCACAGATGGGTAAGTGTGTCATGATGCTGACAACGATAATTTATAATTTTCTATAAAAAGTCCAGTCTTACAAATCATCCTCGAATAGATGTCTTCTTTTAGAATAGTGAAGGTGACCATGAAAAATCATTTAACTGTAAAATTCGAGACGAAGCAGGTAAATAACCACACGAACTTTGAATATAAAAATGAACAACACGGGTCTTATTTTAGTCACGAACTGATTTTTTACCCCATCTTAAGATTCCGTTGGTGTATCTATTCTACAGTACCAAAAAAAGGTTGTTGAATTGAAATTTTATAGCGACAATTCCTCCAGAAATAAATAAGTTTCATAAAAAAGTACTCAAGTCTTTAATTAAATTAACAAAAGTAAAATTAAACCTAATTGTAGATACAAATGTAAAATTAATTCAGAATTATTAGTCCAGAATCGAAAAAGTTTAAACTGAAATTCATAATACTAACACAGTTTGGACTTTTTGGTCGATAAATTTTAAATACTTCTTAGAATACATTTTTTTAAAGCGCAAAATATGTATCAACATTTTCCTTTTATTTTGTGGAAATTCATGTTAAAAAGTGTCTAAGAAATCGCTTTAACTTGTTTACTTGAACTTATTAAATCAGAGCGTAAGTATAGATTCCCAAAAGGTCAACAATTTTGAAAGATTTATTTGAGTGTCACAGACTTCGCCAATTTAGGCATTCTTCCTAAAATAAAACTTTTGTAACTCTAGTTTTCACCGATTCGGGTCATCTTTTGGCCAAATGGATGTTAATATTGTTCATCTTTCAAGCTAGAGTCGTAAAACAATTATATTGTGGCTATTTTTAAACTATGGATCACAGGAAGAAGGCAAATGAAAATTGTAGGAGTATTACTGAATCGGATTAAGAATTCTAAATGCAGCAAAAGCTTTTGTCTGGAGTCAGCTGTGGGGATACCGACCGTCGACGACGACCTATAATTTGCTTCTCTAAATAGCCCACAAAAATATAATAACAAAACGTGCGGGACTCGATCTGAAATCAAGGGAGTACTCAAGAAACACGTGCTTATATTCTGTGTATGGCAATATCATGCATTATGCTACAACCGGACGTATTATACAAGCTATTAACAATTTAGTGTACTACACTTGGGATTATTTTAGTCCCGTTACAAGACTGAAATTCGTACCAGTTTTCAGGGATGATGCAAACTTATCTGCAATTTGCATGAAGAGGGTGTGTGCTAATATCAGGGTGGGTCGCATAACAATAAGGATATCACTGACGAAAATAGCAATGGACTAATTTTATTTCAGAAATAGAAACATAATTTACCTAATTGAAAATAATGAAAAGCCAATGAGGCGTGATAATCCAAATCAGAGATAATTTGTCGCTGACTTCGAGAGATTTAATATGGATCATGTAGGTTAAATTGCCATAACCATTCACAAATTACACGATAATAACATTTCTGGTACGACTTTATTTGACGCTTTAAGTCCACATGGCACAAAGCCAATTTTTTATTTTAATTCACTCGAATATTAAACTTCTTCCTTCGTCATTGCTTTTAATTATAGTTACATATTTCCCCTTATTTTTTAATTTTTAATTGATATTTAATTAAACAAATAAATTTAATGGTGATGATACCTGAGCGTTTCAAATTTTATTACATTGTTATGCTGCCTGAAAAATTGTGTAACACTTTACGAAAGTTGGCAACTCATTTGTTAGTTAAATATGAGAAATGCGTTTAACAAGTGGATAAAATTTTTATGATGCAATTTTTAAATACTACATTTAGATAAAGACTGTTCAAATAACAAACTTTCTCAAAATCTCAGACAGTAAAGAAGTATTTTAGTTACGTTACCGAAATAACGACCGAATGTTATTTATGCTAAAATACTTTAACTCAGGTTTTGGGTTGTCTATATATAAAGATAGCGTCATGTAATTGACATGAAACTGATTTTAAGAAATTCACATAAAAAAATAAAAACGAGTATTAAGTCGGAAAAATTTTATTTATGAAAAATAAATACCATTAAATGTCTACTGCTACAACTTTTGTGCATTAGGGTAAAAATGTATGTTTTAACAAAGTTCAGGTCGTTGAATTACTGATAACATTTTTAATTCGACTTTATTCGTATTTAAACATTAATTAGCATCAAAAATTCCTGTTATTCTGCAATTTAAAACACTTTGAGAAATTTATAGTTTTCCACTAGATTTGCCAATTTTAATTCAAGAAAAATTCAAGGTTGTTGCGTATTATATGCACATGAATTCGCCTTTAAACCTTTAATCAAGAAACAAACAAATGCTTTGAAAAACACCTAAAAATAGCGTATTATATCCTTGACACGAGAATTAATTAATTTTGTGCATCTTTAATCATCAATTGCACATGCCGATCACCTTGTCCAAACTAAATAAGTGTAACAAGTAACAAATCACCTACTTATGGCCTTGTTAACCCAATAAAATCCTCTCGCACTTGATATAGAGTTCAGGCAAATAATAATAGACGTGGGTTATTATGAAAATCTTATATAATAGCGGATGTTGGAGCATTGTCTTGACCAACCCTCTGGCATTCTTTTTACGTATGCACCGTACGCTACTACAAGTACTAAGAAACCTATTGAAAAAATGTCTGCAAAAACAGGTTGTCAAGTCCTGCAGGCTACATTAACATTTAACGGTACTTCTCTTATCCGTTCTTAAAGTGATAGTCCTAGATCTATCTGTTACGTTGGGCGACAATACCAATAAATTACGAACTACATGCAAGTACTACAAATTGCACAATTAAAAAAAGTGATAGATAGTTGGGAGAAGGCGATATTTCATTTCAACAATAAAACAATCAGTTGTGGCGTATTTTGCCGGGAGAAAATTACAGTTGTATACTGGAAATGAGATTTGCATAATTTTTGCCCTCGAAGGCTTGATCGATCTAATCAAGTAAATTGTTTCAGCAATCGAGACAGGTAATCTAACCTACAGGTTTGGATTTTATGGGCATCTTTTTTGATTTTTCAAAATGATGGGGCAAGTTACGTATCTTGTTTCAGATTTCTAATTTTAAATTTCTCATAAACTTGGAAGACATTTTTAAATTCAGCCTACAGCTTCAAAAAATTATTGAAAATCTGAACAATAACATCCAAAAATACAGGATGTTTCAGAACTCGCGCCCCAGAGAAAAATGCGTAGTAAGATAAGATAACAAAAACATGGTAACTTGACTTTTTTATGTCTATTTAATGTTACTGATGATCTTGTATATGTTTTTTTCATAATGATTCAGTAAAGGTACAAAAACCTTGCATATAAAAGCCACAAATAACATTCAGGATAGATTTTCTTTGTTTCCTCTTCTAATAGCTTGCAGTAAAAAAAGTAAAGTTATTTTTACAACTGAAATAAATACACAGGTTCAAAGTGCAAAATTAAAACCCCCATAATTTCGAAATTCTTATAAACAGAATTTTTTTAACATTTTTTCCACGTAACTGGTATCTTATCTTATTTGGCATTTTTCTCTAAGGTGCAAGTTCTGAAACACTCTGTATAATACTTCAATCTGAAAATCTAACATGTACGTTGTGTTTAGTATATTAATTTTACAAACTTAAATTTGATTAAATTTCAAGTATGTAGGTAGGTTGTAATAATATTGACATTATATTTCGTTGTTCAATGTAACGTAGGTGAATTATTATCAAGGATAATGTTTAATCAATTCAACAATTTTTGAAGAATATTTTTGTTTTGAATTTGGTGTTAAACTTAATTATTGTAAAATTGATTAAAATTAGCAATGTTTTTATCTCTTTGTTTACCGTACAAACCGATAAAAGCGAGTATTGATTTTGGGAAAAGTACTGCTTTTTTCAAATAAAAATTCGACTTTGATCAAAATCTTCCAAAATTAAATCAAAAGATCGATATTACATCCTGAAGTGTTATATAAAAATAACCATGGTTTAATCGTATTCATTTCTTTATTAAATATTTTCTTTACGATTTCTTACTTCGATGTTATGCAAGTCGCAAGATATTAATTAATTAAAAATAATAATTATGAGAATATTTTCAAGACTGGTAACTTTTCTGTCAAAATAAAGAAAATTTTTGATGTTTTCCGTGACCTCATCATTTTAGTTATTTTTGTGATTAGTTGAAATTTAAAACAACCAGTATGAAGAAAATAAGCTTGAAATAAAACCATCAAAACAAAACAAAAAAAATATGACAATTTCATTTCCTTTTTGCGATTGCTAGTTGTAAGTAATTTCAAAATAAGCTTTCGAAAGTTGACACCACGGATGAAATTAGAATATCGCCCACCTCTAGTATCTAATCCTCATTTTCTGTATAGTATTCACAATAATTTTAACATTGTAACGTAAACCAAACCAAAATTTTATTCATGTATTTATCCCCGTTTGGTAATCTGTTTGGTAACCTGCCATTGCCGACATTCTCTTCTGACATTTTCTCCATTTAAAGCCACTTACAGTTATTTACTTCCTATCCTTATTTTTCCGTATTATCTAAACATCCCACAATCCCAGAAAAAGGCAATCTAACAGTATAAATCAATCAGTTTGGAAATAAAGTGGGTGATCGACCCAACCAACATTTTTAACCTTGAATTTCTTTCAAAATAAGGTGAGTAGGTTTGAATTTTGAAGGGTACGTTCATTCTTTTATTTACTTTCATTAATGAAACACATTTCACTTTATAAATAGTGGATTTCTAGACAACTACCTGATATCGCAAACTCTCAAGTAGCTTTTTGCAATGTTTGCTTTTAAAATTCTCACATCTCGCTTTCCATTTCATTATGATTATTAGGTGGATTTTTCTGAATCGATAGAAATTATGCAGCAGGATTCGTTGCATGCAAAAATGAAATGTTTCCCTAGAGGCTACTAGCAACCCTATCATAGAGGGTGAGTCATGATGTAATAGTCCCCCACATGAATTATCAAAATGTTACGGTGGATGCGTTCTTGTTAAAACACAACGAATTTTTATGTCATTACTAGACCTTCGTCTTGGGAAAGATATTATCGTTTTTGAAAGACAACACGAAAAAAGTTAAGAGGCTCAACATGTGTTAAGAATAAACAAGTTGATGGGTTTTATTGTTCGGTAGACATTCGTGTTGTTTTGTAATAAATAATCACTGGGAAAACATACTTTGATTAGAGGAAGAGTTTATTCATATTAAAAAAATCTGCGAACTATTTTTAAGTCTTGTTTGCACTTTCCCAGACAGGGTAACTGCTAATTAAATTTTAGCATTTTTATTGTCTATTATAGGTGAATAAACAAGCACCAATTTTCAGTAATAGTCCTACTGAGAAAATTTAGCTAATAAAAATCTAATTCAGTTTTTTATGGCAGTCCAACAATAGAAATATAAAATTTGTTTGATTCGCTAATATGGAAGATATATTTGTTGTGGCATTGAAAAAATGTTAACATGAAGGTTTTTAATCGGAATTAACCTTTTTTGACGTAATAACCATGTAATCAATTCGCGTAAACGATAAGAGCCCACATTTCGTCCAAATTTTTCCGCCCCATTAATTCAAAATAATTAAAAACGACAAGACCCGTGTTTTACAAAATCGAAATTATTCAAAAAAAAGCCATCACTCTTCACCTCTAAATGCAATTAAGAGCAAATCTGATGCATCCTTATGAAAATAAACGTGCTAAAATTATCACAACACATCAATTGACACGCACGAAGAACGCGATTTTGGTCCTTACGGAAAGCTTTTTGAAGGCACTGCTGCACTGCTGCGAATCACAAGGATAATTCCTGCTGGAAAGACCGCTCGATCATACATCTTTGCCGGGTGACCGGTAACTGTGCGTCGATTCGCTGGAAGAACGTAACCTCAAACTGGAAATGAAGAGGTCGGACGGTGTCGCAAACGGTCGGAAATATTTATAATATGTGCCGAAATAAGTTGGGATAAAGGATAAACAAATGGGCTGATGAGTGACGAGGAAAACGGTGGTTTGCCAGACTGCAGGAGCGATTGCTCGTTCAGATCCTGCAAGGGCGTAGCAGGGTTTTAACCTCGTTGCAGGAGATGAATGATCGAAGATCGGGAAAATGCAAGTTTGCGGTTCCTGCTGCAGGAGGATTTCTTACAGATATATGTTATTATTTAAAGACACTAAAATATTATTTGAAAATAATGAAATTCAAAAAAATAGTCTTATTCCCATCTTACAAACTCCAATGTCTAATATACAAATATCCTTCTTTAGACGAAAAGAGGTGTATATTATGTTTTTTGGGGTGCTGAATGCGAATTTCAAATCTGTTGTAATTTTCAATGAAGGTATTTTGAGCAAATCGCACTTGAAATTGTTGTGTTGAATGTGATCAAGTTTGATAAACCATTTTATTATTTGTTTTCCCTTTTTATATTATTCTACTCTAAATCTTACTTTATTTTTAAGAATAATACTTCATATTTTTAATCAATTACTAACGATAAGAGAGTATTTGTTTAATTTTATAAAAATAAATGTGAAATTTGCACATTATGGCATTTTTAAAATTATACAATCGCCTTGAATAATAAAATATAAACCTGCAAAACAAGTAAGAGATAGGCATTAGATAAAAATAGTTGTAACAGGTACACGTTCATGAAGTAATTAAAATAATCAAGAAAAAACACAAAAAGGTCAATTAATTTAACTTTCTATCGTGGCAGTTTAATGAAAAATAAACTATTATCTTCAAAATAGGTTCGATAATTATTTTAACGCTGTAGCTTGATAAAGCGAGTTCAGTAGAACAATGAATGAAAGTTTTACCTTTGATCAGGCTTCTGTTTTTTATCAAAGCTAAATTACCTTTCAATTTTGACTATAATTAGATTTAAACATCAAATTCCTTTCCATAAACTGCGTTAAAACAAAATTAAACTGATCTCAAAAAGAAAACAATCTTGTAATTACAGTTTTGTTCCTGTCGTGTAAAAACAAATCTCTTATGGTAAAAGTTGTAAAGTGAGAAACTTTATACACTTTCTGTAAACTCTTAGTTGGAGTATTAAATTTCACATCGATAAATCTATAAAAATGTACCGTTGCGGGAACATCGTGTTTGAACAAATTGACTCGTAGAAATAAGCTTGAAACGAAACTGTACACTTTTCACGAACTAAGACTGATGTTAATAAATCAGACAAAAATCATTTATGCATTGGATTTTTGGTGGAGGCGCGGGGCCATTTTTCTAATGCCTAAATAAAATTGAGAAAATTTTTATTACTATTTCTTTAAACAGTGTGCAATTCAAAATACCGCAATTGTATGTAAATAGAAAATATTAAAAATACAAAATTTCGTCCTTAAGCGAATATTCATGTCAAAGCAAGAATATTGTTTCCTGCTGTAAGTACTAACACAATTTTCTCTCTTTGTGTAGTAGTTGTATTGTTTTTTCCAATTAAAAAACAAGTAAAAATCTGAAAATAAATGTCTTGCATAATCCGCGGAAAAGCTAGATTGGAAAACTGTCTAACCCCATGGAACATGCCAAGTTATAAAAGTTATTTATTGGTCGCCTGAAATAGATGCTTCTATCTTTTGAAACTGTGTCATATTGACTTAAAGACTTCATTTGCAAGTCGATAAAACTATTCTCACGCAAAAACAAATGCTAAAAAACTGATGAAAATATTTTTTATAGGTTTCCAAACTTTTTATAATTTCGCATAAATAAACTGTTGATATTTCCGGCCACAAAAATTTTAATTAACGCTTAATTAAACAACACATATTTTATCACATTTCTTGGATAGACAAAGGAACATTTGTTGATACACAAAATAATAAAATAGCTAAAATTAGAGTTAAAGCTCGATCAGATTGCTGTTTCAAATCGATTAAAGTTTGATTGGAAATCATTCAAGTCTTTATTTCATCGACAGTCTAGACAAATACGTTTGTGGGTAATAAATTAAAAATAGAAAAATCTAATAAGTAACCTTCCAATAAATTCGATACATCACTTAACATTCTTTATTAGTTAATTATTTTGACAATCATCAAATATATTATTGATTTATTTTTGAGTGAAATAATCAAAAATGAAACCGTTTCAAAGCTTCGTATCATAAAAAAATAACATTAGATGTGTAAAAAAATGTACACACAAACCGTAATATAAAAATGTGTAAATTTAAAATTTTACTGTTTTTCAAAATGAAAGTGACTCGAAATGAAACTGTTTAGGATGTTACCACAAATAGATTAACGACTTCGAGTTATGTTATGTAACTAGTCATTAGTTGGAAGATTATACCCATAAAAACTCTCTCCATAAAATCAAGACCAATCAATTATAATTAAATATTTAAAGAAATTGTTTCCTGAGGTATCTGATTAAGACGGTAGTAGTTTGGTAGTTATTAGCAAACAAAAAACTATTCTCATAATAACAAAACAACGACCATTATCATTTAATAAAACCTTCACGTAAGCCGGATATGTTGTTTATAACCTGGTAGTTGAATAGTGAAATAAATACATATTAAAATCTATCAGAGAATGTCCCCGGAATACCAATTTCGCAACAATTTCCCCTGTTTCCTTAGAGACAAATCCACGAACCGAAAAAAACGGTCCCACATCGTGGACAAACAATCCATCATATCTCCTTAAACCGCCCATGTCTCTTCACGGCGACCGAATCAAAAATACATTAGCGAATCGAAATAATAACTTCCGGTTCGTTGACTTAATCGAAGGTTGAAGGTCGCTACCGAACCACGCAAGAATTTAACACTTACCAGAAGTCTTCGGCAACGTCCCTGAAGCACTCAAGTCGCTCAAAGAGCTATGGATGCTGCTCTCGAGACGACTCTTCGGCGACGCGTTACTTCCGGTTCGTGCCCTAACTCTTCGTCTGTAAAAAAAAACATTAATCACAAACCAATTACTTGACAAAAACTCACAATTTGGTGTTGGGAGACTTCTGACTCGTTGGTTGTCTCAGTCCCGGTTTCCTCACTTCGGTTTGTCTCTGCACAGGACTCACATTCACACTATTAAATACTTTCGATTTGACGTCTTTTAAATTAGTTTTTTGTTCAGTCTTTGAGATTTTATTCATCACAGCGTCCCAGCGACCGACTGTTTTTTTCACAGTTTTCTTCTCAGTGCTTTGAGGGCTCGACTCTAGCATCGCTTTGACTTTTGAAGCCACTTCCCGTTTGGGCAATTTGAATTTTTTCGAGGCATTTTCTTCTTTATGCCGCGGCGACCTTACACTCGCAGGACTTGACACGACCGGACTTGGGGCATTTCTCTTCTTCGGATTCTCCTTCGGGGCATCATCCTCAACAACAGCCGTTTTTTCCAGGATTTCCTGAAGATTATTTTGACTATTTCCCGAAATCGTTTTCGTGGAAGTATCAGACGGGGACACATCAGTCGTCCTGACATCCTCCTCGTTCCGCGTATTGGACTCAATATCGGTGAAAATCCCACTCGAGTCCATATTTTCCCGATTATTAACGTAGATATCAGCGGCGGCTTGGGGGTCAACACCGTAGAGTGTCCCATCGATGACCTGCGCCCTCCTGTCGCCTCGGAGAGGGTTTTCCTCGTGGTTGTCGGCGTCGCTTTCGGTGTAAAAATCGGAGTCTGTCATGGGATCAGGGCGTCGAGTTTGAGGACGGGGGAGAGGTCTCCGGGTCAGGGGCGAGTTATCAGCCCCCCTGCTCGCCGGTCGAGACATTTCGCCATCGCCTTGATACCCCGTATCCAGACTAGTGATACTAGTTATGCTTGTAATAAAGCTTGAAGTTTTTGATTTGGTGGGCTCGGTTTTGGAGTCACTTTCGACTATTGGGGTCGGGTCAAGGGGTAAATCTTCAGGAGAAGGGGTCTGTTCGGGCCGCGTTAGCGTAAAGTCTTTTGATTTATCGATGGAGTCCAACGGTAGCTCCATGTTCATTGTGGTGTCAGTTTTTAGTGTTATGTTGTTAATTAGTTGCTCGTCGATGATTCCTAAACTGAAATCAGTAACACTCGCATCGACCAAATTGGGACTTGGGAGTTCACTCGTATTGGTTTTGACACTCTCTTTTTCTTTGATTTCTCTAATACATTCGGAGCTTGGTGTTCGCGAATTTATCACAGACATGAAGCTTGTCCCATCAACCATTTGTTCCGGTGTGAGGATACCCAAAGACTCCTCAAATTCTAACGAATCCCTTTTACTACCGTCGTCCTCTAAATTTGAAGTTAATTGTAGTTTCCGTAAAAGAGATTCTTCGAATTCGCCACGAACGGGTGTCGAATGACTGAATTTACTCAAAGCTGACAAAGGAGGCGAATTAAAATCGAACGAACTAAAATTTTGAGTTGTCCGTAGTTGAGGAAGTGATGATGGTTTTTCTATTGCATTTAACACAATTGTATTATCAGTTTTTGTCACAGTTCTCCGTCTCTTCACTTCAACTCCCAATTCGTTAAAAAAATTTTCATAGGACTGATGAATCTCCTTACTATCAAATGTAAACGTTTGCTTATTATTTTCTACATAAGTGAGATCATTCGGGACTTTTTCCACAACTAATGTATCATTTTTATTAAATGTGCGCCTTCTGTCTTTGACATTAATAACGGTTCGATTTAGATCGTCATCTATCGATTCTTCAGACGATTCTCTAACACTTTCATTTTTTTSATCAATAAACAACATACTGTAAGGTCCAGAATCCCCATCTTCAACATTCTCGTTTCCTTCTAATAGCGCGACTTTGCATAGTGGCGCCATCAAACCACAGCGTTGCGAACACGCAAAGTAGCGAACTCCGTTAACAACACCATCGTGTTTACCCAAAGAGGAGTCAAGTTCGACACCACACCATACACCTGTCGAAAAATGGACGTTGCCGATGTACCGCAGAATGCCTTCTTTTTCGACCACACGGACCTTTTTACCGATATCCTTTTTCGTTATTTCGGCAGGTTTTGGCTTAATTTGCGGTGCCTTGGGCCGAAATGTGGGGATCCGAGTCGATGTCTGCAACAGAAATTTGTTAATTAATCTCAGGATTAACGGAAACTTAATGTCCGATACTCAACACTTGTTAATTGAGATTCAATGGACTAACTGTAGTAGAGTAACAGATTTTTTCGAAACTCGATTTACAACGGGATACGAATTGTAACATACTGTAGTAAAATTGTTTAGTTTCAATTTTGGTTTATCTATTTATGCAAAATTTTGAATTTGGTTCAGCAGGTCATATGGTACGATTGCTAACGGAAATCTTCCTTGAGGTGGCAATATCGGTGCACCTACGCCTTATTTGCACTAACTTCACGTTCCTGAAAGTCCATTAACTAGAACCCCACTTAAATTCAGACGGATTATAACGGAATTTCAATAAATTACAGTAATTTTTAAAAGACTTGGATTTTTATACAAGGAGCGCTTGTAAAATGGAAAATTAATGAAATCTTCAATTAAACATCAAAGCAATGTTACAATGCAATGTTTAATTGAAGAAAATTCTCAGAATTGTAAAATTAACCTTGACTTTTCATTATGGAATTGATGTTAAGATAATTTCATTTCAAATTTTTATGGCTACACCTACAAACAGTTCTCGGGAAAATAATAAAATTTCTATTAATTTTCATAAATCAAAATTGTCAAAGGAAAATAAAGTTAATTTTTAACGAAGATTGAGATGTATGAACAAAGTACCTAATAAAACAAAAATCATTACAAAATGACTTGTAAGTCAACAAAAATTATGAGTAGAAGTTCCAATGGTCGCAAGTAAAACTCACTAAATAAAAACGCTACTTCAAAACTAAAAAGTTATTTCATAATGGAAAAAAATGAGCTGAATCGAAGAAATAAAAAAATTATTTTGGGTTTTCTACAACAGTCCAACGAAACCTCTAATCGAAATTAGCAAAATTAGGTTAAAAAACGGAAAAACAAATTATGCAGAAAACTCGTTTACCAACAGTTTATTTTGTATTCTTCTCTAAAACGACTATTTAAAAATTTAATCAAAATTTTGAGACTTTTGCAAAACTTTATTATACCACTAAAATCAAATACTCCTAACTATTTTGTATCAAGTACGCAAAATAGAGTTTTAGGAGACGTTATTAAGGACAAGGCGACGAATATGAGGAGTCACCTTAAACCTTTTAAGTACGTGGCGAATAAAAGATTTTTTTGTTAAAGCTCCCAAAACACGAATTCACACCTCTTATTAATAAAAAAAATTCGCCACCAAAGTAACCAATTTAATTTTTTAGTCCACAAAAACTGTTTAAAATAAGTCCCTAAAATAACCATTTTGCGTACTATTTTATTGAATCTGGAAAAGACTCATTTTGAGAGCGTATACAAAAAAAGTAATTTTAGGTTTTACCATTTTAAGTTGAAAAGTTAGTTGAAAAAAAGAGGAAGGTATTATTTTTTAGAATACTTCCCTTTTTGTAAAACCAGTTTTTTACCCTGTCTTATTACTAATAAAAACTGTAAATTATGTGATTTATTTGAATTTGGATTACATTTGCAGGAAAAGTAAAACTAAATTGCCACAATTCTTAAAATGAACACATCTGTTGAACAATAATGAAAGAAACAAATTCATCCTTCTGTTCAATAAGTTCTGAACCATTATTCATGTTGCAATATAATAATCCAGGAAGCAGTAATTCACGATTGATCGTGAGGATTTCTACAGTTATTTTAATACACGTTATGTACAGTTTTTCTCTTCAAAAAATGTTTGTCTCACGCAAAGACATTAAAAAATCGAACTGTTTAAATTTTGTCTTTAATTTCTAATCCTAATTATTAATAAAAATGTGTTTGCAGTTCCGCTTATCCCATTTTTTTACATTCTCAATCAAAACAATTTTTGCGTAAACATTAATTTAGGAATCTTCAATTTTCTAACTTAAAATTAATTAAACTTTCTCTTTAATCTCCGGTGGTTAAAAAATAATTTCAAATTTTAGAGCAAATTTAATTGCTGTCTGAGAAAAACACGTTTAAACGTCTTCAATAACCGTTCCTAAAAGGTTCTCAAAGAATGCGACAAAAACTTTAATGATTTTCAAGCTTGAATGATTAAGCTCGTGCTTCATCTTCACTTACATCTTTGTTTTGCTTTTTGCTTTAATTACACGAAGAATCACCATTCCAAGGTAGAAAATTTGCTTCCTGCGAAAGTTTTTTCTTTCAATGTATTGTCATTAAAATGAAAGTTAGACTTGGGAGAGTCACCGCGGATGACTTCAGTTTTAAATATAATGAAAAATTCAAGGTTGAGGTATTTTGCATCAACATTTTACTTATTTGTTCTATAAATTTTATCGATTGTGATCAAATATTCATCAAACAAACTATGTCATCATGAAATTGTCGATCTAATAATCCCATTGTGACGCATTTCGCTATTTATGAAGAATGATACAATTTCGTCAATGATGCTTGTCCGCTTTTTGTTCATAAAAATGTGGCCACACAGATGGCGCGACCCAATTTACGTCACAATTAGTTACAAATTGGTGTTCCAAATACAATAAAACGGAATGAAATTGTAAAACCATTTCAACAAAATATAATTTAACTACCCAGTGTTGCATGACTTGAAAATTTCTGTGTCGGATTCACAAAACGTTACCCTAAAAATGTAATCATTTCAAAAGTGACAGTTATTATGAAAAAAATGATTCGTTTTTGCACATTTTCGACCATTTTTCAGTTTATATTCAGCACCTGCTTTAAGGTTAAAAACTTGTTGCAAAATTATTTTATTTTACATACTTAAACAGTAAAAATGAATTAATGTCTTAATCGAGAGTGAATTTGAAAAAAATTAATTCCAACATCTAATGAATATCATTTATTTAGAACGGTTGGACTTATTTAAGTAATTATTAATCTACTAATGACGGAAGTACCAACATGGAATAACGTACAAACACACATGAAATTATTTTCTGCATACATTATACCGTTAATAGGTACTATCACAAAAGCCTTCTACTATCGGGTTGTTAACAAGTGTGCACGTGTAATTATTTATAATTTAAATCCAAATTCTGACAAATTCACATCGAAAGACAAACTCAATTAATATAAATGTCGAATTCGTTTAATTACAAATAATTACTTAAAACTCTAAAACTCAGCCCACACTAGCTCACCGATTCAACTAAACTCATCTATTACCATAAAACTACTATTTAAGTATAATTAATGGTAATTTAACACAATTAGTGTATTCACATTAATAATGTGTTTTCTTTTCTTCAAAAAATGACAAAGATGCAAAATATTTACATGTTAATGTCGGAATATTTATCTACTGTAAATTACATTCTTACGTTCGCAATTATAACAACCTAAAAAACTTAATCTAAGCACTTGTAGATAGTTAATAAAGTTTATAAAATCCAAGTAATTAGAAACGATCCACGAGTAAGAGACTTGCAATTAGTAATTTCCTGATTATAAACGTGGCTTTATCCCTTATGCTAGGAATTAACTACCTTTATGTAAATTAAATTCGATTTCCATTTCCGTTAGAAATGTACGTATAAATAAACTATCCTACATAATTAAAATTTTCAGTTTCAAATGTGCGTCTTTATATCGTTCAATATTATAAATTATTTAGGTTGATGATAAAATATGCAACTATTTGTTTATAACCCTTTCATTAATTTGATTACGTCAGATGTTTTACCATCTTGAAAAATTTGCAATAAATTATGGGTCACGATTGATGCATATTAATTATAAATGACCAAAATGAAGCAATTTATTTAATAGACTGTTTATAGACTACAACAAAGATCAAGGTTTTGTCAAACATTCCAACCTGAGAACGTTTTTAACTTTTTATTCCTAACTTGTTTCAAATTCGGGCTGCACCCAAAAGAGGCAACAAGATTTATCCACAATAAAATTTAATAGGGAAATTGTTCACTGTTAAATGGCACATTATCGGCAATTATGAAAGCTTCTGCAGTTCTAGTGTCGTAGGTTTGAGTCTTGTTAACACCTACTGTTTCTTAATTTATCGCTTTATACCTTGCAATTGCATATTGTGGAAGTTTCAAGTAATATTGAAACATGGAAAAAAGAAAACAAAAGGGTAAAAAAGGTACAATAACTCCTTGTGAAGGATTTATGGGTCGTTACACATACGCCAAAGGACAAGTTCGTTTGATTCTCTTGTATTTTACTTCGTTTAAATACATTTTAAATTTAACACACTATTATGTTGACGTTTTGCTTATTTTTACACGTCATTCGACGTGCTTTGTACACCTATTCGCAGGTGTAATAATACGTATAAATTTAATTTTTTTAGTAATGTTATTTTTATAGTTAACAATTCATAATTATTTGCATTACTAAAACCCCCTAAAAAGAAGTGTAAGAAGTTGAAATTATAGTAAATTAAAAAAAATTATAGTAAACTAAATCTTTGAGCGTTTAATTTCAAGGTTGCAATATCGTTTAATATGTTCTAAAGTGTTTTATCCAAATTTTGAACTTTTAAATTACACATTATTATTTATGTAAATAT